ACACACACACACTACACACACACACACACGCTCACTACACATACACATACACACACACACACACATACACACACACACACACACTCACACGCTCACTACACATACACACACACACACACACTACACATACACACACACACACACACACACATACACACACACACACACTCACACACACACTCAGTGTGGTTTGCTCCTTCTATCATATCAAACATCTATCTACTTTGTCTCTTCTCCTTCTTTTTTGTGTACTGTCTTGTAACACCTCTATTCTTCGGCATTTAGATGACCTTATTTTGTTGCAAGTGCCGTAAAACTCTTACTAAAACTAAACTAAACAGAATATTCTCTTTAAATATGTTTTGTTTTGTTTTTCTTTGGCAGCCTGTTTAGTCGTGGAGTTTTCTCTATAGATATGTTACGTTTTGTTTTGATTTTATCAGCGTGTGCGGCCATGGAGAGCCAGCTGGAGAGTTTGGGCAAGCGCTGGGCTCAGATCTGTCGCTGGACGGAGGAGCAATGGTTGTTGCTGCAGGAGCTGCTGATGAGGTGGCAGCAGTTCTCGGACGAGCAGGACAAGTTCAGTCTGTGGCTCACCCAGAAGGAAGCCATCCTGCAGAGGATGCGCTCGGCCAAGCTGGAAACAGCCGAGGAAGTCATCACGCAAGTCAAGTATCTCAAGGTGACTCTCGTCTGGACACTTTGTCTTCTTCTGTATGTTAGGTCATTTTTACATTTTGTTTATCAAGATCTTCAGTGAAAACAGAGGAGAAGAATGAAAGCAGAACTCTTCCTTGTAGAAATGTTCCAGAACTTGTCCTTGAAATATAATAGAACTGACAATAAATAAATAAATAAATAAATAAATAAATAAATAGATGAATAAACAAACAAATAAATAAATAAATAAATAAATAACACTTTATTGATCCTCTTGGCAAAATTTGGTGCACTGTGGCAAACATAGTTCATGCGTACATATTCACCCAAATGTTCATACAGCTAATGCCACAATGGTTTTAGCTAGGGTTGTCGTGTCTTGCTTAAGGACACACCTTAGTGACCACCTACCACTAGGACACACTGTGTCATCGACTCTTGCTTGACTTAACTTGTGAGTCGGAACTCAGCCACTAAACTCTTTTTTTTTGCTCATGATTGACGAAATCAAGTGTGAAGACAGTGATGTCAATTGTGTGTCTGAAATAAATGATCAAAGAAGGACGTTGTATTTAATGTTTGTCTTTGACCTTTGTCACTGACCTTTGTCACTGACCTTTGTCTGACCTTTGTCTCTGATGTTTGTCTGACCTTTGTCTCTGATGTTTGTCTTTGACCTTTATCTTTGACCTTTGTCTTTGACCTTTGTCTCGTCAGTCCATTGAGAACGACATGGTGGAGCAGGTGCGCCGTTTCGATGCCCTCAACGAGTGCGGTCAGCAGATCGTGGCGGTGGTGGACAACCAGGAAGCCATCGCCAAAATCTCCACGCTGCTGGAGGAGTTCCAGGAGAGGTGGGAGAAGCTGGTGCAGGACATGGAGGCTCAGAGCAAGGAGGTGAAGATAGATATTGTGTGGTGTGTGTGTGATGTGTGTGGTGTGTGTGTGTGTGGTGTGTGTGTGGTGTGTGTGTGTACTAGTCACAGAGTTCCAGGAGAGGGGGGAGAAACTCGTGCAGGACATGGGAGGCTCAGAGCAAGGAGGTGAGAGCTTGGGTTTGTTTTGTATGTACTAGTGACAGAGTCAAAGAGTCGCGTAGTGATAGATTCACACAGTCACAGAGGAAGGAGGTGAGATCTTGTGTGTGCTGTGTATGTACTAGTCACACAGTCGCAGAAAAAGGAGGTTAACTTTTGTGTGGTGTGTCAAATCAAGGGGGTAGGATATTCTAAATGGTATGTATGAATGTGTGTATTAGTCACAGAGTCACAAACTCACAGAGTCACAGAGTCACAAACTCACAGAGTCACAGAGTCACAGAGTCACAGAGTCACAGACTCACAAACTCACAGAGTCACAGAGTCACAGAGCAAGGAGGTAAATCTTTGTGGTTGCCTATAGTGATTCCTCTAACTGTGTAACTTGTGGCTTGTAAAAGTTTCAACAGGCGAGAGAGAACATTCCCTGTTCGAAACAAATTTAAGCAAATAAGTTTTCATCCTGTCTTGTCTTCAGAAAAATGTGTATGAGTACCAGGGAAAAATGATAGAACAAAAAGTGAGTTGGCGTTTTTTCTTCCGGTGACATAGTTAGAACACAACGTCATGGATGAAGGGTCTTGCCGCAAGGAGATAACTTGGTTGTTGTGAAAGAGTTGTAAAATATGTAACCTGCATTCAGATGCTCTTTGTGATAATGATGGTAAATTTGAAGAACCAAGTGGACGTTTTCTGTTCTATGTGTAGTTTTGTCATTTTGATCTATCTGACTCAATTTTCTGTGCTATGTGTCAGTTTTGTCATTTTGTTGTATCTGACTCAATTTTCTGGGTAATGTGTAGTTTTGTCTTTCTGTTCCACTTACCCAGATTGCCAACTCGGGAGTGGAACTTTCCAAAGTGTCGGATTATTACGAGGAAGATGTCATAGAGGCGGAGTCTGCCAAGGTCACGTCTGCGTCTCCTCCATCGTCGACGAAGAAGCGGAGAGTGGAGTCTGCATCCAGGTCTGAGCTAGGCTGATTGTGCTAGACTTTCTCTGTGAAATGTTTACCTAAACTGAAATGAGATGAGGTCTGATAAGATTTTATTGATCTCCACGAAGAAGAATTTGTTGCCAGCATGGTAAATTCATAGACATGCAACTGCACGTCAACACACACACACACACACACACACACACACACACACACACACACACACACACACACACACACACACACACACACACACACACACTCATGCACACACACACACTCATGCACACACACACACACACACACGCACACTCACGCACACACACACTCACACACACACACACACACACATACACACACACACACACACACACACACACAATTATGTTATTCACACAACACATAATGAAGACTTTGAGGGGGGGGAATTGTCCGTCCCATTTAGTGTTACTTTGAGTTGGGCCTTAGTGCCGCTGTGGTTTGACAAAACAGAACATGTCAGAGAGAGAAATAACCAGGCCTGTGTAGAAATGAACTAAGAACATGTTTATCCCCCTCTAAGACATAAGTTCCAAACTTCAAAATTCAAACTTCAAACTTCAAAATTGTCCCAATCCCGAATCTGTGCCAGTTATTCCCCGGTAGTAGCCTCAATCTTTCCGTCTGTTCTGTCTTGTGCTGGCCGTGGAGAACATTTGTGATGCAGCGTTGTGAAATCAGGCGCTCGTCAAAACAGGTGCTCGTCAAAACAGGCGCTCGTCAAAACAGGTGCTCGTCAAAACAGGCGCTCGTCAAAACACAGAAATTGGAGAAACAGTCATTTTCCCACCAGTTTGGAAATTCTTGTCAAATCTTTATTTTTTGGCTCAGCCTCTTTTATGACAATATTTAACCACATTTCCATGTGATTTTACTGAAAAACATTGATTAAAGGCACAAAATGTCATTTTTCTCTTTTCAAGGACTCTTTAGCTATTGAAGTTACCAAACTTTGGTGGCCATTTTTTCGCTAATTTCACCATTGACACCCGGCGACCTCTCTTCCTTCAATAGCAAATATCTTGAGTTCTCTTCTAGATAGATGGATAGATATTTATTTCATTGGAAGCAAGCCAAATAAATCAGCTTTTAAATGATACCAAGAACTCCACATGCGCCTGATTCCACTATGTTGTAACACATTTCAACTTTCAAACTTTTAACATCTCATTCAGTTTGATGCTTGAGACACAGTTGATCAAACCCGTGACAAATATTTGCCTATGTGTGTTTCAGGTCCGAGTTTGACCTTGAACTGAAGACCCTACTGGACTGGATGGACCGGACCGAGTCGACACTTCTGCTGCTGGTCTCCGACAACCCGAGTGAACCGTTCACCGTTGAGGAACAGAGGGTTCTCATACAGGTGGGTGGTTGATGTGTCGCCATCTACACCGTGATCGGAAAATTGTCCATGGTGTTCAGATTATATTCATCATCATCATCATCATCATCATCATCATCATCATCATCATCATCATCATCATCATCATCATTGTCATCAACAAGATCTCTCTATGTCCTTCTGTCCTGGGCTGTGGTCTCCACCTCTGCCCTGCCATCATCTCCCAAGACATTCTATTCACTCTAGCTGGAGAGTCTGTGACATGGATGTTGTGTCTACAAGGAAGGGATTCAGTCAGAACAATATTCCTTAATCTCAAAGAATCTGATCTTTTTTCTGTGCACTGATAATACTTTAGTTTGTCCCAGATGTTGACTACATCCGTTGTGGTGGTTGTGTCGGTTTTCTTCCAACAACTCCAATAACACTTTGTGATTGGCAACAACATTTTACTTTTTATCTAACATTCGTGGCTTTTGCCCGTTAGGGAAACATTTTTCTTTGCAACTGCACCCTTGCAGTTTCCATTTCATGAGACATTTTTCTCCTATAGCGACTATGTGCAAGGATTTGTCATTGTGTGTGACCGTCATGGGTTTGTGACTGGCAGCTGTGGTATACACACATCACACACATCAGGAACATCACACATATCACACTCATCACACACATCACACACATCACACACATCACACACATCAGGCTCTGTGCCGTCGCACGTAGACTCTGTCAAGTCGCAATCTCAAACCCCAGTCAGCCTATGTTGGCCCTGACTGTTAGAGTCAGAGCAGCCTGCCTCCTAGATGAAGTACATTGCTTCAGTGGGGGGTGAAAAACTACAACAGTGAACAACTGTACACCTGTTTATATATGTTCCTGTTTCTGACCGACCCCTGACCTCTGACCTTTGACCTCCCACAGGACACAGAGAGCACCGTGCGGTCACACCAGATCGACGTGCAGAGGTTGCTGACGCTGGGGCAGACCATCCTCACGGAGCTAAAAATAGGTTTGTTGTCCAGTTATATAATTGTAGCAAAGCTATAATGTTGTTTTTTTCATTATCTAATACGTAACAGTTGTTTAGTTTAGTGTCTTTTTCATCTGTCAGACAGGTGGTCATTGTTGCCTGTAACACAAAGAGTTCTGTGAGTGGTTGGCGGGTGCTCTAGTGTGGTTTGCTTCTTTTTTCCTATCAAACATCTATCGTCCTGATCTCCCCTTCATCTTTTTTATGTTTGTTACTCTCTTGTAACACCTCTAATCTTCTGGCGCTCATATTATGACCTTATGCAGTTGAGAGCGCCGTAAAACCTCTACTAGAATTTTTAAAAAGAGTTCTGTAGATGCTTTAGCTGTTGGAGAAGGAAAGATGTTGCTTAATCAACACTTTTAGAATTTGAATATTGACAAAATATTTCTCGAGCGCTCGATCGCAACTGATGGTTAAGAAACTGAAGAAAAAAGATACAAATTTTGGTATTTGGACAGCAGAACAAGTGGGTATAGAGGTGAGCTGGGTCATTGACTGGGTATTTGACAGCAAAATATGTCCACCTGTGTGGCATCAGTCTTCATAACTTGATTAGGAATTGAATGGAAAAACAAAGAGCTCCGAATGAGCTGAAATGGATGGAGAGTACCATAGGGGAAGAGATTTGCTGTGTTTGTGTGTGTGTGTGTGTGTGTGTGTGTGTGTGTGTGTGTGTGTGTGTGTGTGTGTGTGTGTTTGTGTCTGTGTGTGTATTATGTGTGTGTGTATATATGTGTGAAAGAGAGAGTGAGTGAGAGAGAGAGAGAAGGAGAGACAGAGAGAAGGAGAGTTACAGAGAGAAAGGAAGCGCGTGCATGCGTGCGAAAGAGAAAGAGAGAGAGAGACATAGTCTTACCCTGTGCTGTCAATGAACTGTTTTAAGACGTTTTGTTTATTCTGTTCCCTGCAATAAGTCACTAAGTGGGAACTGGGTCATTTTGTCTGTCCGTACAGCCGGGGAGTCTCAGGACGCGATGACGGTCGTGATCAAAGGTCTGGAGGAGAGATGGGAAAAACTCAACGACAATCTGGCAGAGACGCAGACAAAGGTCAGTTGTTGGATTGTGCATGAAATATTCCACACGTTGTCGTATCCTTTCATGTGATATCTTCTGCAGGAGAAGAATTGTAAGTTAGTTGTGAGAATAATTCATTTGTTCTTGTCTTGTCTGTGGCTGAAAAAACAACCATCTTGAGGAACGGACATTTGAAAGCTCTTGTCGTTTGTTTTTCGTTTGTAATTATATTTTTCTAATTTGCTCATTTCTTCCAACTGTTTGAATCTTTTCTCTTATATTGGTGTGCTTACTGATTTGACAAATTATTAATTTTAATGACTCCACTTTTAAGGTAAATTTATTATTTCCACAAAATATTCTTTATACTTGAATACAATTTTGGTTGTGGATGTATTCCCAGGTGGACTTGAATTTCGAGACAAAAAAGTTTTACGAAGAAATGTCTGCCCTGCAAGACCTGATGAACACGTACGTGAAGTGGATCAGCTCGGCGGAGAACATCGCTAAAGATGCTCCGGAGATTACGAGGCAGCTGGATCAGTGCAAAGTAAGTGGCAAGGGTGAAAGTAAACAAAACACACACATCTTCCTCTCGTATGTCGTCCCACGGTACAACATTCAACTGTTTCCTGTTTCTGTCTGACAACTGCAACGCTGTTGTGATTTCTATGGTGACCCCAAATGTTGCCCAATAGGTCAAGCAATTTGAAATGGGGGTCTATACTTTACTGTTACCATTTCTTTGATGTCTATAGAGCTCTTTTTTTTTCATGAATCAGAGTTGGGTCGCTGGTGGTCACTCTTGCGCGGTCTGTCTCATGGACTTGTGTTGTTTTAGAGATTGTCGTAGATCTGCTGGGTGGCAAAATGTTGTTGTGGCGCGTGGTTGTGGAAGACATCTCACTGTGACAAACTGTTGTTGTTGTTGTGGAAGACATCTCACTGTGACAAACTGTTGTTGTTGTTGTGGAAGACATCTCACTGTGACAAACTGTTGTTGTTGTTGTTGTGGAAGACATCTCACTGTGACAAACTGTTGTTG